TACAATTATTTGTATAACTAATTGTAGACACCCCAAAATAAAATTTCAACTTTGATCGCGTTTTTCTCAAAACTGTTCACGTGTTACTTACTGCGTTTATAAATTGTGCGGCAGTACTTAGTAATAATGTGGTAGTAACCTCCAGTTCACTAGTCACTCATTTGTGTAAGCAGTAGCCTAACATTTTTTTTTCAGTGTTAGCCTCTAGTGAAATAAAGAGGTTCGTGCTCCTGTAGTGAAAATTAACTGACCTGATGATGATGAAGTACCTATTTAATCTATTTACATACAAAAATATCTCATAATTAAGTCTTAAGTTTATCATTATTAAAGTTACTTACTTAAGTAAAGCATGTTCCCGAATTAAGAAGTTATGTTTACCAACATTATTTACTAGTATGTAATTCTTTGCAGATGGTTCCAGCAATGATGGGCATGATGGGGATGATGTCTTTCAAAGGGATGATGTTCAGCATGATGTCGTTCATGATATCAAAAGTAAGGCCATCATTGTAATCAGAAAAAGTTTCGAATACTTATGTTTCTTATAATTATAACTACTATTATGGTGTTTTTTTTTAGATGATGCTATTGATGAAACTTTTAGAGAAGAAAGGAGGGTCTGCAGGGACTGGTGGGGGTGATGGGGTGAGTTATTTCAATCTTGTAAAAGACAAATAATAGATCTAGTCAACTATGAAACGCCTTTTTATATAGTAAAGGCAAAATCCGATGCTTGGCGCTCTTGCTATTAATAGAGGTAAGTAGTTACATTACGGACGATATCTGCTGTGCTGCACTTCTAGCTGTCGGTCTTGGATATGCGCTGCGATAAGTTTTTATCGCGCTATTTCATCGTTTTTACGTGATACGCCCGTACGTTTGTCGTCTAAATTATTCGATAAAATTTTATCACGACGCGTAGTCCTAGCCCGGCTGAACACAGTGGCTTGTGTTTAGTTGTAGTTAAAGCTATTTCGAAAACAAATTTTAGTCTAATACGATGTCTATTATTTGACTTAATCAAAAAAATCTGATCATAAACTCTACTCTTTCTTAATTTTCTTATAATTTTCACAGGGTTGGGCGGCAGGCGGAGCTAGTGGTGGAGCGTGGATGCCTGCAGGTATAGTAATACCCATATAACTACCCTCAAGTATCCACACATAGAATATAAACCGCATTTCAATTCAGGTGGCGATTACGGCGGCGGCGGCGGTGGCGGTGGCGGCGGTTACGACGCCAACGGCCAATGGCAGAGCCGTTCCATTTTCGAAAAAGAACTCGAAATTGCGAAGAAACCTGTCACTTACGTCACTCCGACACACAAAAGTTACACAGATAAAAAGTCCAGAAGCAAAAGAGGTTTGATTGATGTGATACAAAACGCATACACATACTGGATGAACAGAATTCTGGGAAGTAGCATTAATAGGAGAAAACTGAAGCAACCGTACAAAATGGTAAACGGAGTCAAATACGTCTATTATCCTTTGAAAGTGCTCCAGAAATACAAAGCTAAAGAACAAGCGAATCAGATCAAAACTGCAGACGAATTTAAGCCTATTGTGATTGCTGAAGACTTCAATAAGGGTGAAATAGTTGAAGCGGAGAGTAGAACCCATAAGAAGAAAATCACCAAGATGGCGGCGTCTCTAAACGACGCAGTGGAAGACAATCCTTGGGAATGACTATACTATTTGATGAAGTTCTATGTGCTAGAGAATTTGGTGGAACCGGACTTTAGAGCTTTGTTGTTCTTATAGTGATAGTGTTAAAACAAGTTATTATTAGTAATAGTGCTTATGTCAATGTAACTATGTAGATGTTATTTTATATGTATGAGTCAGCATATTTATACAGAGTTAAGTAAGGAAAATAAATTATTTTTAAACGAATTGATCTCTTTGAAGCTTTTACTTCCTGCTAATAAAATTTAAATTAACGAATTTGGGAAATCCACTAAATAATCCACTTGAAAAAATGTTCACAACCTTTCGGTTCAAATATTTTATTACATCAACATTTACTCACATAACGCCATCTATACAAATACTGAACTACCACTTCAAACATCTGAGTATTTTTCTGAAAAAAGCAAGTCTTACAGAAATAGCACTCTATATTCTGACGAGTTAAAATATAGAACCATCAACAGATGGCGCTTAAATGGACTTCAAAGATTATCTCGACTTTTTTGCAATAATAAATACTGCTCACGCTATAAATTATTAATATCTGTAGTAAGTACTTATATTTCGTTGTTAAATTAACTTCAATTATTTATTTAATGCATGTGTCATTGAATAACTTATCTCTATATTTATTCACTAATTTCGAACCATATAACAACATCCGATATGGTCTAGTGGCTAGGATACCTGGCTCTCACCCAGGAGGCTCGGGTTCGATTCCCGGTATCGGAAAGATCAATTTTGCATTTTTTCCCGATACAAAAATATTTATTTTATGATTTTATTTTCGAAAGTTACTCTCTTACATTCTTTATAAACCTAACTACTTATTTTCTGCCAATAGCGTGAATCGAAGGCGTTTTTACTCAATATTTTTTAATAATCAATAATATATCTTTTTCATAAAATAATAATTATTATAAATAATTATTTTACCCTTTGAGGAAAATCTGCAAGTAATTTGCGATTTCCTCGAGCCAATCGCTGACCACGCGCCGCACCCACGTTGTCACTTTCGAAAACACCCGGGCCGGCTACACAGCGGCCTGTTAACTGGGCTTTAATCTTTCGTTAACCGACTTATACCAACAGTAAGCAAATAACAGTAAAAGTAATAAAAAATCTGTCTGTCTTATTGAGCTATTATTTTTGGGAAAAAAACTTCAATTAATATTGTTTAGCTTTTTTTATTCAAATTAATGTTTTTTGACTTGTAAATTGTAATACAAAGTTAAAAAATACAAACATTAAAAAATAATTATTAAATTTCAATACGTTAATTAACAGATTCATAATATTGCAACGAGGTTGGTAATTTTTTTTTAATTAATTAGCAACGATAAAGTTACTAGGGTAGGTACCTACTTAGTGTTTTTAGTAATCTATCAAGGCACTTATCATGATAGTAAGGTGTCTAGATTCTAGATGCCCTAAAGAGGTCCTACACTAAGTACCATAATAATACCTACTACTAATAAAGAAATTGATTTTGACTTTAACCAAAAGTTAAGCAAGATCTAACAGTATGGTAGAGTCAGCCCCCAGCTTGCGGTCAAAGACCCAGATCTTCACCTTGCTCTTGAACGACGTGGTTTGTCAAAATTTAGTGTTGTAAGATGACGTCTATCGATATCGAGAAGTTAATTCATTTGTAAGAATCCGGCAGTTAGAGGTAAGATAGCCAGTTCCTCCGTGGTTGAGGATTCCGGGTTAAGCTCGCTTCCAACTTCGGCCTGATCGTCACTTAACATCAGGTGAGACACAAGCCAAGAGCTTCCTCGTTGTGAATAAAAAAAACGTAATAATTTATTTTTTTCAATAGGCTTTAATAAAGCGCTTTTACATTAACCTATTTGAGCACCAGAATCATCCCTGATCGGTTTGGACTTATCATAATATTTTTTACAGAATTAACTTTGTGCAAAAACATAATTTAGGGGAGACGATTTTACTGTTAAGCTTTTTTTATCTTTGCAATTTCTCGATGTGGTAGGTACATGTGTTTTTAATGTTTTAGACTTCTTCAAAATCTGTGCTGTAATACTTTTCCGTAATTTTTTGCTTTTAGTTTTGATTAATAATTATTCGAATCGCGCACATCCGTACATTTTGAAAAATAAATCGAAGTTCAACCTTAAGCACATACCTACTTGTAGATTCAGCATGCAAAGTTTACTTTAATATCTGCTTGGCCCAAAGGTTTAATTGAGAATACCAAAATTTTACGTTCACTTAATGGAAAAGCTACAAAAGGCCAGTTTGAACATATTATTATTAAACATAATTGAATGATCAAACGAACTTACCAAGTGAAGTTCGATCTAAANAAACTAGGATAATCGAACATCTGGAGTAACACCACATTCATAATCAATACTACTAGCGCCACACCGGCACCGTGGTGTTCGCCTGTACTGCTCACCGCTAGATGGTTAGGTAGACGACGTTAAATAATTATGCCACTTTCTACAAAAAGAAGTGAAATCCCACCAAAAACATTATGTAAAAAACTAGCCAAGTCTCGATGGAGCTGCTTGTTTATCTCTAAAAAGTAATGAAATCTAGACAAAGTCGTGCCAAGTCTATGGTTCCTTACTGCGATTTCTTTATTATTATAGTTAATGTTGTGTGACTTGGCCGTTGAAGGGTACAAAACCAGGTGCTCCATGACACCATTGCACCAATCTGTCGCCAGAACCGCCACCCATTGACGAAAATTGAAATTGAAAATTGGCACTTGGAAAACGTTGATTCAATAACCATATGTTGGGTCTAATTCTCGTCACTACACTGCACAACTTAAAATAATTACGTTTTTTGTCGGTAAAAACGTCCTGGTGACGTCACTTAAGCATTTTTCTTATACTGCGTGCGGTCGTTGCGCGTGCGCACAAAGGAATGAGACCGCTCGGACACCGAGCCCACAGCGTGGTAGGGGTGGGGTTGCCCGCTCTTTTGTTTTTTAATACTACTACGCTGAATATTGTGTGCGGATTGGGTTGTCGTACAGGGGTACTACATGGTAAAATAAATCTCGGAGGCGAAAGCAGGATAATAAAAGTCAAAGTAATTGAAAATACCACAGCCTAAAAAACAGTAGGTACTTTTCGATCAATAATAAAAAAGGTTAGTTTGCCAATATAATTTTTTAGTTTTTTTTATCCAAAACGAAGAAGCAGCAAGAGCTGCTCTTGACCTGCATCTCACCTGTTATCGACCTCTTACATCGATATCGATGTCTAGTCCTTCACTATGTGCCAAACGTGCGAAAGAGACGCCTCTCGCCCGCTCACCGGTTTACCACAGATAAACCCACCTTAGTTAGTCAGCCGTTTCTACGCGAAGCGCATGCGCGCGCTTTTACGAATTTGACGTTTCCTAACCTCCATTTTTGAAACGTAAACAAAACTTTTTTCTCAGTGAACGCAAAAGTGTTTTGGATTTTTTTTTTTGAGTGACTGCAAAGAGGTAAGTTGTGATTTATGTTGTTACAAAACTTTTTGGTTTTAATTAACTTAAGATTTCACTGTTTTTCATTAAACAGGTGTTATGTAGAAAGTCTGTGGTCATCTTTCCGCGCTTCAGATCTTGTGATATTTCGTTGATTTCTCTTAGAATGGAGATTAAATAGCAATTGATAACCAAATTACAGAGATGATAGAAGTCGGGTAGCCGGTATTTGATCTCATTTTTGTTTCGATAAGTAGGTTATTGTTGAATTTTTTGCCGCGAACGTTCGAGAAACTTCATTTTTATTGTGTTTTAATTTTAGCTTGGTGGAACATAGATTATGTATTTGCTCTAGAGTAGAGCACTATCGCAGAGCATGGTTTTGAAAGAGAAACCGTAATTTGTCACGATAGTTTGTTTCCATTTCACATTCTAATTATTATTGTACTGAGGCATCAACATCATCATCATTTCAGCTGCAGGACATCCAATGATTTCCAGATTAGCCGGTTGGAAACGGCCCGCATCCAGCGCCTACCTGCGACCTTTTAAGGTCATCTGTCCACCTTTTGGATGGATGCCCCAAGCTGCGTTTGAACGTGGCCTCCATTCCAGAACCATGCTGAATCAGGTCATCAAGGATAGGTACCTGAGTATGATATTTGATGTCTGATGATTCTTCGCCCAGCGTTGGGATTGGGATAGCAACTCCTAAGTAACAATAGTCCTTTTGTCTTTTTTTTTCTTCCTAACTTGAACTGGACCACTCAAGGTCATGGTTTTCGAAAACCAGAACATCATCTGCTCTGATTCTGGGTATTTCTATGACCCGATCACTAGACCCTTGATGCTGAGGAGGATGCGCGTGGAAATGTAGGTCAAATCCTCCATTCACTTATGGTTTACTAGGGAGTGTCCTGCTCCTGGTTCAGAGACTGATGATGATGAAGGTGATGATGATGACGATGTCACTCATAATCAACAACTCGAGAGAGTTGGCACAGATCCAAAAATAGTAGGAACAACGTTGAAGAGAGTAGCCCAGCTGTTCTGAATGAGCATGGTTGCTGGTTGGCTTTGTGTCAGTCAGTGGTGGCTAAACTCTACTACAGCTTTTGGATCCTATTAGCACAGAATAATAATATACTTTTAGTTTAAAAAGTTCTAAAGGTATGATCTAAAGATCTAAACCTAGTTCATTAGCATCATTGATCAAAAACATGGTAAATGTATAAGCTAACTGGAAGTTCATTGTCCCATTTCTGCGCTAGTCTGACACTAGATTTGACCAACTTTCATAAGTCAATTAAAGTATATGTAGTTACTCACTTTTCCAAGCTAATAAGGTTCATTATAATGGAACTGTTCACAATACTTTTACGTCTTCCGTGGAAAAAGTTGCACTTTTAATGAGAATTACAGAAATACTTCACTTGGCGTATTTTCAAACTGATAGTGCATTTTATGCTTCAGTACTTTCGAGTTTTTCTTCTAATTCGATCTCAATCTACTTACATTTTGATCGGATTTCTACAGTTTTAAAACTGTTCCCCTACATGCCCAGTCAATCTGCTAGCACGCAACCTTAATGCTTATAACTAAAGCAACTAAACTAAAGCAAAGATCTTGGAGGAATCACGTAATGTAGATGGACTACAAAACTCATTGTTTACTGCGTTAAAAATGTCCAGTCATCCTGCCATGTGAGTTGTAGCCCTGTCACACATCAGCCTTGTAAACTATGTCACTGTCAAACTTATGCGAGCCTGCATAATAGACGTGTACCCCATAATTATGGTGGTGTAAATACCAGGTCAAAGGATATCCACATCTAAATCTATACTTTCCCCAGCTGCAAGCGGTGTTTCCAGCGATTCCTGCAACCTTTATTTGGTTAGGTAATCAGGACAACGTGTCATGCTTGTGGTTCACGAAAAATCCATCTCAAATGAGCTCCAATTTAGTTCGGCTTCTTCTGTTTTATGGGACAGGAGGCAAAGAAGCAAATGGATCACCTGATGGTAAGTGATTACCGCCGCTCATAGACACCTGCTGCCCCGGGGAAGTTACAAATGCGTTGCCGACCTTTAAAGGTGCAAGTGCGCTCTCTTCTTGAAAATTTGTAGGAGTCTTTAGCTTCTTTGCTCAATGAGGGCTATCGTTTTAGCGCTCACCAGTTAGCGCCACTGTAGAGTAAGGTCCTGTCACTTGCTAGTAGCGAAGACAGTGGCACCAACTTGGGAGCGCTAAAGTGGTAGGAGGACTATCGCATTTGCACTCATCAAGATGGCGCCACTGTAGAGTAAGGTCCTGTCAATCGCCAGGGGTGCCAACTGTTAAGTATAAAAACGATAGCCCCCATTGATGTTCATTTGTCGAGCAATGTTATGAACAGTCTCATGCAAGCAGTAATATCTTCACAACCATCTTTTTGAGGCTAATTCAACTCATCGAAGTTACCTGAGTTCTTTAATATCACCCATGTACGTCAGATTGATTTCTAGTCATTGATGGAATCCCAACTGGAATTTAATTTATCGGTCATATTCAATAATGTAAATTCTTTGATTGACCTTGTCTTACTTCATTGGTATTCATAACAATTAGTCTGACCGACTTCGAGGTGCTAAGGAAGACTGTAGTCTATTTAAAGAAAGTAGTACGTGTATGAATAGCAATTTAGTATGAATTGCTGATACCGTTTTAGAAGTTATAAATCTAATTGCTAAACAGAGCCCGGATTTCTAACACTTACTTATGCAAAATCAGGTGGTCATTCATTTTTAATTAACAACAGTATTAACATTTATGGAAATACATAAAAAATTAAGTAAGACTATGAAGAAAGGGATAGTGAAACCGAATACGACATGAACTTGAAATGAAACGAAGTTGTCAAAAATACATAAGAGAGAAGACCATACTATCATCTACATAAATGCGATGTATAAAGTTAAAAGTACTATTGAGAAAGCAAGAAGTAAAACTGTTGGCAGTCTGCCAGCAAGGAAAGATGGCGGGGGATCATATGGATAGCTGAATTGCCTCAACCATCGACGTGACCGCTTCAAAATCACCATTACCGCCCTGTGTGAAACTACCAACCGGGCAGCATGGAAAGCATTGGGGGAGGTCTATGTTCAGCAGTAGACGTCCTATGGCTGAGATGATGATGATGATGTAGAGTGAAAACAGAGACAACTTGAATAACACACAATATTTTATGGACGGTTCCAGTCCTGTTTTTCTTCGATGTTCGATGTCTGTTTACCAAAATTCCAACCCAATCATATGCTCTCTTGTTAAGTCATCCTAAATGCAGGTGTTGGAGTACAAAATACCAATCATTTGTGTCGCCAAGTAAAATGGTGAACTTCCTCCGCGAATAAACCACAAACCGCATTGGATGTAGACAGGTATGACCTATCAGGAAGTAGGCTGAGAACAGTTGACAAATAAAATGTTAAGGTCAATGGTTTACGCGAATTTGGTACTATTATTTGATTTTTTTTAAACAGTCTCATTAATGTGAGATCTTGGATGTAGGTAACATGAAACATTCATGGTGGAAGTAAAAAAAGACTACAATAAAGCTCAAAGAATTCTAAACCAAATAGTCGTAAGGCTCAAATTATTATGAATGAATTAACTACAACACGGTATCATCTGATTCATTGACAACCAATTAGCAGATCGTGGCTGGTATTGGAGTTGCATTGGTGGAAATGACAGAAGGGAATAGTGCTTTGATAGTAATTATGAATGAAGTAACGACAACACGGTATCATCTGATTCATTGACAACCAATCAGTAGATCATGGCTGGTATTGAAGTTGCATTGGTGGAAATGACAGAAGGGAATAGTGCTTTGATAGTAATTGATTATAATTAATTATATTGATGCTAGTCAAAAGTCTATCAGGGGTAGAACAGACATTCAGATAATGTGTCAATACGTTAGAAGCTTAGTATCTAACTACGATTTATAGATATCATAAGCCTGATCATAACATTCATAAAAATAACAATAGGAATCTGCAAATAATCAAGTGAACTAAAAGCTGAAAATACGACCGGTACCAAGAACTGTAGGAAGGATATAAACTTCACTTTATTTGGAGGAGTACTTCATAATTATTAAGGCCAGACGAGAAACTTTCGGTTTTGGAGCGAAACTCGTTTTCTGTTTCCCATACTATCCGTGTTAAGAACGCGGGTTTCAACCATTTTGGAGTTCAAGTTCTTTACTATTGAGAAAACAATGTCAGTTTATCATAAATGAGACAAGTAGGTACTAAAGGGCGGAGTTTCACTCAAGTGTCAGAATTCTGCTTGCCCAAAGGTTAACAAAGGCAAAGAAGGCCTAAAGTATACAGTCCGCATTATGTTCTTTAGGGGCATAAAGTTTAAGATGTTTGGTATTAAATCTATGAACTTTTACTCTATTTTATCCGGTAATAATTTTCAAGTTTTATAATTTGGTACTACTGATTTCCGTCTTGCAAATAAATAAGCGTTCGGCCATATGAATTCGTGTAAGTATTTGCATAAACACGTTTAAAGATGCGCTTAACCTAGATGAAAAATTGAAAATCCATATTTGGTCAGACGGAAAGTTTTGAATCCCATTAGTAAACATAGAACATTCGTAAACACCACCTTCAATAGATCAGTCTGATGATTATCCATTCTCATCACTAAAACATTAAGTCAACCGGTACCAGAAACTATCGCGTATTCACAAACGATGCTTGCTTAAGTGAATCGAGCAGCAAATCGAACGCACAGCGTCGAATAGAGCTCTGTGATTGGTTCGTGTGTCACCCTGTGCGCCCACGCGCACTGTGAGACCTCATAGTAATGTGCGTTAGTCAACCGGTACTAGAGACTATAGCAATTATGTAGCCGGTGATTGAAAGTAGTGCGATGGATAAAAAACATGTTAAGACAGCAGATCAGACTAATATTTTTGTTGAAAAATAGCCTGTATTAACACGAGATAAGACTCCACTGTGTTT